ACCAAGCTTTAACCAATTACCACAATGATTAGAAATGAACTCTAACACCATGACCATCCACCGGTCAGTCAACCCCATCACATGATGAACAAATTCTCAATACAGAATATACATTTCAGCTTAGTCTTGAACATATTTTTTAAACTTGTAAGTATTTAAATCAAATTTAAACAACTCACTACTTAACTTGACTCAACTCATTTACATTCCAAAACATATGCAAGTGTTCATATCGAGATTACACGTAATATAAAACCATATGCAAGTATAATGGGGTGAGTATATATTTTGCCAAGAGATGATTGTCAAAGGAAATCAATCACATGTTAGGAACATCAGGGTGGGGTACCATTGGTTTATGTAGCAGAAAATAACAGAGCTCAAACATAGCCATAGCCATCTACACCATTTTGTGTTGAGTTTGGCACACTGATGGACCCAGAAGTACAACCTTTATTGATAACACTCTAGTACACAAAACACTTGTACACAATCACACACTAATACGCTTCACTTATCCACTCACACATATATTCAAGCACTCACATTTTGTGTTTTCCACACACAAGACCTTGAGACATCTCACACTAGATAGTGCTTGACCACTTACTTTGGACTCATTTTGGACTCACTCTTCTTTCACTCAATTGTCCAATTGTCCAAATTACTTAGTACATGCACTTATCTCATATTTATACTAGTTGAAGAACTTTCTAAAATATACTCATACTTTTCCTACACTCTAGAACAATCTAGATTACTTTAGTACATATTAGAGCTTTCTATTCTTCTCTAAAATATTCTAGAACCTTTCGAAACTATTCTAGATTTCTCTAGTTTTCTCCAAACTTCTTAATGTTTTGGAACCTTCTATGATATTATAGAATCTTTCGGATTTCTCTAGGTCTTTCAAGAATCTTCTAGATCTTTCCAGAGTATTCTAGATTCACGTGGAAACTTCTAGAATATTCTAGAGAGAAGATTCTTGAGAGTGAGGAGAGTTAGTGATGACTCTCAACACTTCCCCTCAGCACTAACTCTCTTTTTTGGATTATGTAACCATGCCACGTTGTTTCAGAAACTCTTCGTGAGCATATCTGCACTCTGGTCCTTTGCCACGATAAACTTTGTCTCCATCTCTTCTAGTAACGACTTCTTCTATTTGAAGTGATGATACACTGCTACACACTTTATCCTTCCATGGAACACCAAGTCCTTGGCTGAATATACAATCTTGATCCTTGGGCTTAAGTACCGAATGCCAAGTCTGACCGTGCCTTAATGCAATACCTTCCTCTTTCATCATCTTCCTCAATTGTTAAATTCTGTTGTTTCCTGAAGTGTTATTAGCTCCTTTATATTTTCCATCTTAGCAAATGTTGCATCAATATACCTTAGATTGTGTTGACATTGCCTTCCAAATATTGATTGTTGTAGCTTTACCACTTCTTCAACTTCTTCTTTTGTTTGTTCCCCAACTTCTCTAGTAGGTGAGCCTCTGGATCTTTAAATATTGAAGACTGAGACTCAATTGCAAGAATCTACTTATCTGTGATAGAGTGTGCATCCACTTCTTTGGTAACTACATTGCACTGCTCATTTACGCCTTTATCGAAGTCTATCTCCTTTTCTAAATCTAATTCAGTAACCACGAACATTGTAGGAGATGTTTCAAAATCTCATTCTTCTTCAAATTTTGGCTCTTCTTCTAAGTAACCTGGTTCCATGGTCTCGAACATTGCACATGAAGCTTAGAAATCCCATTCTTCTTCACTCTTATCTTGGTAACCATTAGATGTTACCATATTACCTTCAGTTGGTCTTCTTCTTAACCGACAATCTTTTGCGTAGTGGCTAATCTTGCCACATTTGAAGCACTCTATGTTGTGTCGTCCAAATCTAGTAGCTCTTCGATCATTTTCATCATGTCAAACTCCTCCTTGTTGATAACTTTGATCATCTTGTGATTGTTCAACTTCTTCTTTCTTCGATTTTCCATATTCTTGCCACTTCAGTCCATCTCTTCTCTTGCTATGGAATAATGCCTCTTCTTCACTTTCATTCTTCAGTGTGACTCCATCCATTTGCTTTGCTAGAGTTTTTTGATTCACCAATAGACTTTCGAGCTCGACCAGTGATAGTTGAGTGGACCATCCTCTAACAGCGGCCATGAGCCCACTCTACTCGGGTCTTAAACCTCGAGTAATAATGCGCCTCATTCTTGACTCGCTAATTTTTGACTCGGGATCAAGTTGTGAAATTTCATTGCAAAGAGTCTTTACTTTGAGAAAATATTGGTTAATAGTCATTGATCCTTGTGTCACCATTGCAAGCGCGTTCTTTAGATACTGAAGTCGTGCATCGTTTGTCTTCGAAAATAACGCCGCAAATGTGTCCCAGATTACTTTTGGAGTAGTAGCCTCCCGAACATACTCCAATATCTCTTTTCGCAAGGCCACTGCATTTTTTTCTCCAACTGACGCAGTTTCCTTGCTGTCAACAATCTCCCATAGATCTTGTCCTTGAAGATATGCCTCAATGCATATTCATCAATAATCATAATTATAATAATTTAATTTCTCCATACCATCGATGAAGTTTCCGAAATCTGCCTATAGACACCTTATTTTTGACCGCCCCTAAGACTTGTGCATCACCAATTGATCACCTAATGATGAATGTGCACGCTTGTCCAAATGCTCAAATTTCTTAGTAGGAAACCTCAGTTTTGATCCTCAAAAAACCTATAAGCCTTGTGCCTTGTTTTTGGACCAAACTAGTAGTTTTTCAAGCCTGACCATCCTAGTGGCCTGCCGCCCACTATCAGTGGTTGACCGCCCACTTTTGTAAAATTTCAGATCTTTTTGCCAGCTATGCTAGCTGTCTATACAGATGCATGCACTGCACCAGTTGTGTTTGTATGGATGTTTCCAAGATAGTCTCATATATTTCTATATATAGATGACTCCCTCTCATTTAGGGTTAGAAAAATTTGTGAAGTAAAAAATCTTGGAAAATATTTCTCTCTCTCTCTCTCTCAGCTTCTATACCCTTAACCTAGACATTCTAAACCAAACCTTGAGGGCTATTTACTGAGGTGTTTGAGCTTGCATTTTAAGCTCTTGATGGTGTGAGATTAGTGGTTTGTGATTCAAAGGATCATTCCTCTTCAAGAGTTATAACTCTAAACTTCTTTCCCTTATTCATTTACCATCATTTATTGCTGTTTTTGTACTATTTTTCACCTGTATTTATGGGCTGAAACTTGTGGTTTAAGGCCATTAAGGGTAGATGAGTGGACCACCCCTCTTTGACCCTTGCTTTCTAGGCCTCTACCCCTGTGTTTCCCACCTTGTCATCAACATTTTTGCGCTTTCTACCATTGATTTTTAAAAATTTTCAAAGGCTAAAAAAGTAGTTTTGAAGTCCAAAAAATAGAGGGGTTAGACACCCCTCCATTCGCTTGTTTACTAGCTTGATTGCTCCATTATTCTAGCTTACTCTTCTAGCTGTTTTTACTTTAATTCCAACACTGTTTTGAGCTAATATAGAACTATTTTTATGTGTTAGTTTCACTTGTGGTTTGTATAGCATACTTGTAGTGTAATAGTCCTTACAGGTTTGGTGTTTTAGGCATTAGACACCAATCTATTTGAGTTGATAGCATTTATTTCATGTTTTTCATACTTGTGTTCATCTCTAATCATCTTTGTACTTCTCTCATTTCTTGGCTTCTTCCTTGCTTTGAGATTCGTTTCAAACTGATTGTTTGTTTAAGCTAGAGATAAAGATTATTGTGGTTAATAGTTTAATCTTTTTAGAGGTTCATTACCAATGGCATGACATCTTTTTCATGCCCAAAACAATCCTTTATTTGATACGTCTTTCCATTAGTGGACTTAATGCTCATTTTGGGACTAAAATGACAAATGAATGGAAAGGTAATTAAAAAAGGTGTTAAAATTGGAATAAAATGGAGTAAGATAATAAAATAGTTTGGGGTTCAATCGGATGTTAATTTAACCCGTTGAGTCTTGAAGCATGTCATACTAACTAGTGATGAAAATGGTTCAAGTTTCAACGTCAACCACTTCCCTTGATCAATATCATGATAGGGAAGGGGTTCATGAGTCTTTAATTATGCATTTATTGAAATTGTATCCATTGGTTCATAAGTCATCACGCAATGAATTTACGCTGATTGATGGCTTGCAAATCGAGCCTATTACTGCTTTGAGCTATTCAATGATAAGGAGGGGTAAGGTGGATCTGTTTGTGCTCTGTTTGTTTTCTGTTGCAATAGGAGAAACCCAACATTAGTGGCTGACAAGCCACCTTTATTGGGCGATAGACCACTATTAGTGGGCGGCCGGCCACAACTTTTGGCCTGCCAGCTGCTTATTTTTTTCCAGCCGGGCAGTTTCCTTTTTCCTGCAGAACAAAGCAGAGGCAGAGGTGGAAAAAAATAGTGCAATTCTCTAACTGCAAAGCATAAGCATTTTGGTAGCCAAATGGAGGCATTTTTGAGTGGAAATCCACGTTCATGCATGAGCCATCCCTAGCATTTCGGCTCGGAACCTATTACATTTGTTTTTAGTAGTATGTTGTACTTAAAGTGGTGAATTTGTAATTAATTACTTAGTTAATTAATTCCGTAATAGTCTAATTAGTTAGTTTAATTAGTTAGAGTGTGTTGTAATTATTTAATTAGCTAGAATAGTTAGTTAAATTTGTTGTTGTAATAATTAGTTAAGTAGCTGAGCCAATTCATGAAGTTCAGTGAGACAAACAATTCAAAAAGATCTTAACTGCAACATGAGAATGTCCTCTATTGATACTTGACCAAGTAATACAAGTTACCAATATCCTATTGACTATTCTAGAAATTTGGATTTACTAGCTTCAGTTGCACAGCTTTGATAGTTTTATTCGCTTACTACATTATACGCTATTGTCATTTGTCTGGTTACATTTTGGACAAGAGTTGCATGAAATTCTTTTTATTTATTTATTTTATCAGCAACAAAGGATATTTATTGATAAATAAAAAAGATACAAAAAACCCAAAAGATGCCAAGTGACAAAGTTTTTCCCACAACGAATCCTCATCTAAAACATATCTTGAAAGATTCTCGCATTCCTTTCCAACCAAGTGGCCCAAAAAACTGCAAAAACAACACATTTCCAAGGACACACGACATGAATTATACATCTAAAGTAATAGTCTTAGGCGTCACCTGAAAGTAGCTTAGGACAAAAGCGACTGACATTACACCTAAAAATTAGAAGGAGAAATACACACAAAAGGACCCTACTGATGGAGTGCACACAAGATATTTAAATCGCCTCAATATTGCAGCTCCTCAAAAACAGGATCCACAGATCCTCCCCACTTCCCATGGTATGACTCCAAAAGCTTCTCAGCTGGTGTTACACCTAAAAAAAGGACACATCAGACCGATTAACATTAAGTATTCAGCTCTGGTGGAAGATCTGTGATTTGATTAAGGATGCCAATGGTTCTAGCATGCTCTTTGATGTGGTGGAGAGAGGAAGGTGAGGTTCTAGGAGGAGGAGTTTTTATGGCTTTGTCAGGCAACGGTTGAGGCTTTAAATAGTCTTATGAGACGCCTTATTGATCAGGGCAGGAAAGGAGTGCTAAGAACTCCTGAAGCAAAGGATGGGAGGGCTGGTTGTTAGTGGCAAAGGTATTGGGGACTTTGGTCAGTGAAGGATGGAGAGATATGTGGAGCCTCTGAGATCTCTTTCCTTGAGGCAGCAAACATCCAACCATTGCCTAGTAAGGTCGTGAAGGTGAAAAGCAGAACAGTGGGAAGGATGTGGGTTATTCATACAAAATGTATAAGATTTTGTAATGCATTGGTGATCATTGTTATTTTTTAGAGGTTCCTCCAAAAAACAAATAAATAAATAAGCCCGACGGATAGATAAAGAAGCTTGAAAATAGATAAGCAATGTTAATGTATGGTTCATCATTATTTACATAAGACTTAGATGAGCTACCTGTTCTAACCTCCTCAGCCACTTCAATCAAGAATCCTGTTTCCTTGAATCCTCTCCTTTCCAAGCCATCCTGCAAGAACAGATTAAGCCTTCGTTTGGAAAGAGCTAAAATAGTCTGACTTTTTGGTTTTTTGGCTATTTTAGCTTGACTTTTTTAGCTTCTTTCGGATTGTGTTTTTGGCTTTTTTGACTTTTGTGAGAGAAAAAATGTGATGATTATTGTTTGAATGTGATATTTTGTCTTATTGACTTATGTAACCAATTTTGTCTTTTGTACTTTTTTAACTAAAAAGCCAAAACCAAACATTATGAATTGTAAAATCAACATTATCATGATTGGAAACATTGACAACAATAACAACAATAACTTTTTAACTTACCTTCGCAAACCTTACAACATCTTCAGCTACATGCTTCAGCAATCCGTCACGAAATGGTGTCTTTAGACCACTTTTTGGTACCTATCAAATACTTTTCAGAATTAGATTTCCATCTTGATTGCAAAAAAGAAACTGTCCGTATTTTAATATGATAGAACATAAATTCAAGGATGCAAACCATCTTGTAATTCAATACACAAATATCGAATAAAGAGATGCAGATCATGGCTGTGCCGCCCTTTACTTGTTCTAAGTCTGTATATTACCTTATTTCTCAACATCTGTCTTTCTTCTGCGGTCCAATCGGCTATTAAATCTAGCACATTTTGAAGAGAAATATCATCATATAATAGACCCACCTGAAATTTAAATAACCACATAAGTTAATTATGCTATAAATGCAAACTGGACAGGTGTCAATCGTCAGATGAGTTTATGCTCTTCAGAAGTGAGATGACAATAAAGAAACCCTTAAAAAGTGAAATAAAAAATGTATGTCATATTTTTCATTTTTTACTTAATCAATAAAAAATTGTCTAAAAAATGAGTACAGACACGACTATTGTGCACAGCTAAAAGGTATTAAAATATGTCTTAATATAAATTAAGTAGTTGTTTCAGCATTGACAAACTAATGAATGTAGAATACCTATCCAATGAATTTATGATACATTTCAATCTACATAAAATCCAGATTCATTTATGCACATTAGTTGACTACACATACAGATCAAAGAGGAGAAATACCCAAAATGCAGGCAATGCACTTAAACTCCACCTAGGCCCCACATCAGCTCCCCTCATCTCCAAGTATCTCTTCAACCTGACCTGAACGAAATAAATAGCATCTGGCTTTTAGCTAGCAATTATAACAAATATGGAAACTTTTTTTGAAGTTAATCTCTATTGCATTAAAAATAATAATAATAATAATAATAAATAAAAAAAACCTCGGGTTGTATTGTAGTCAGATGATTCTCCCAATCATTGAGGGTGGGTAATTCACCCGGAATAGGAGCAAGTTTTCCTGCCATGAAGTCCTGCAAAAATATTATTTCAGAAGCATTACACAAATAAATAAATAAATTAGAAGTACAAGACAAAAATTCATGGTTGAAGAAAATGAAGCAAGAGTTTCACAGGGTTATAAAAGAAAGCCTAAAAAAAGTGAAGCAACTAATAGGGATAGATGGAAACCCGGAGTGACAACCCAGAGCAATCAATATACTTCTTTTTCCGATAGACGAACCACATTGGGACATCAAGTGCATAATCTACATATTGTTCGAACCTGTACACAGAAAACATAAGGAAAGGTCATCTATATCCTTCATTAAATTACATGAAGACACAAGATCAATCTTTAAAATTTATGAATGCAAGATTGGAAAGAAAATCCATCTGACAGCCCCCAAATTATACTGCTCAAGGTTTCAAAAGAAGAAAATCAAATAGATGTTAGAACATTCTTATTATAGAGTCATGCAGTAGATATATATACACACACATTATTCACAATGACAAACAATATTTTCTAGTTAACATGCTCTTAAACTATGCTATTCTTTGTTTTTTGTTCTTGTCTAACAAAAATACATTACTTACCCAAAGGAGTCATCAAAAACAAAGGGAATCATGCCAGTACGATCGTTATCCACATCTGTCCAAACTTGGCTGGTGAAACATATGAGAATTAATAAATTAATTCTATTGAAATAGTCTAGAATTATGAAAGGTGACAAGTAGATGGTAAGTTATAGAAACCTTCTCATACTAAGATAACCATTCGGCTTTCCTTCAGTGAAAGGTGAATTGGCAAACAAGGCTGTGGCGATCTGTTTCAATTGCTATGCTAGTTAGATTACATAGAACCAAAGAAATTCTAGTAAGAACAACAAAGAGCGCGTTTTTACAGGCTGCAAAGCAAGACTAGCACAAAACTTCCTGATCATGTCCACTTCAGAACTGAAGTCCAAATTGACCTATCAAAGCCAGAAATGATATCCAACATTCCATTCAGAACACAAATTATAGATTTGGAAGGGGAAAACAAATGCTTAGTGACTTCAGGAGTCTCGATTTGAGACGGCCGAAACACCAAAAATGTTAAATTTCTCACACCTGAACATTGCATGTCCGAAACATCATATCAAGTCCAAGAGAGCCAACTTTGGGTAAATAATTCCTCAAAATCTCATTTCTTCCCTGAACCAAAAATAACTGTGTCAGCACACAGGTAGTTGATCTCGTATTCACATTTCAATGTAACATAATGTTGGTTTCTCTTCTTTTTCTGTTTCTGTTTCTGTTTCTTTTTCTTTTTCTTTTTTCTTTTTCTTCTTTTGAACGATTCTCACACAACACTACAAGAAAATACACTTTTGGTGACCACTTTTGCCGACTAAAAATATTTTGGTCATCAAAAGTTGTGGAATTGGCGACTAAAATTTATGTCAGTCGGTAAAAGTACAATATTTAGCTACTAAATTTTTTTAGTCGGGGTATATTGATTATTGGCAACTAAAAAAATATTTAGTTGCTAAAAATGCCTCAATTGGTGACTAAAAAAATATTTTAGTCGTTGTATAGTTAGTTTTGGCTACTAAAATTATTTAGTCACCGAATGAAAAATAAAATTTACTGGAATAGTGTTCGTTTTTTTTTTCCACCTATTATTTTTATATTTTAAATAAAAAATATTTCCAGAATTTGTTTTAAATTTTTTATGAGTTTTGAATAGGATTTTGGATTGTGCATTTAGTTATGAGTTGTAAGTTTTTGAATTAAATATTATATGTCACGTTATTCATTTCAAACTCAATTTAAAACTCTTTTCAAAACTCAGGGTCGGCCCTGGGCATAAGCCCACCAGGCCATGGCTTAGACCTCTCAAAATAGACCCAAAAAATGGGCCCCATTCCATTATAATTTAGTGTAATATATTGGGATGGTGATACCCCTGTTCCGTATTATGTTAATCAGTCCCTAATACGTATGTGATTATATGTTTTGATATGATTTTGTGTGCCATTATGTGAATATATGTGATTTTGGAATTCTATCTGTTCACCGTAGGAATATCTATCTGAATGATCTGCTTTGGAAATTAAATTGAAGGCCTTATCGGCCACGGAACCCGAAATCGATTACGCCATTGTGATTGGCATAATTTTTAGAGCTTACGGTGAAATTTAATTGAAAAATTGATTCGGGTTAGATTAAGTCGATTTAATTGATAAATTAAAGCCCAGTTACTTTATTAATATTATTTGGCCTTAGTGGGTTTTGTTGTAAGTCTCTATACTCCCTATTCTCTCTTATTCACCTCATTTGACTGAACTTGGGACTCAAAACATAGAGAGAGCCGGCTGTTGAGAGGGGAAAGGAGAGAATTGTGTAATTGTTGGCTCAATCTTTGGAATTTGAAGATTTAGCTCAAGAATTGACTAAAGCTTAGAAGATCAACGCTTCTAGGTGAGTAATTCTTAGATAATAGTTTGTAACTTTGTGTGTTCACGCTAATTTGGTGATCAAGAGTGAGATTGAAATGAAATTGTGTTGGATTTGTTGAATTGAAGCTTAATATGTGCATGCATGTAAAGACTTACTTTGAAATTGCATGTTTGAACACAAATGTGTATAATCCATGTGAAATGTTAAAGGAAACTCATGTTTTGATCACCATTTGTGTTATCTAAGTTGAGAATGTGGCTAATTCATCACATGCATGTACAAATTAAGAAGATATGAGCTTGAATGCATGAGTTTGTTATGTTGGGGTTGAGTTTGACATATTTTGGGACATGCATGTGGATAAATCAAGAAATTGAGCTTCATAATGTTATAATCTTGCATTGGTGCCATGTTGGTATGATTATATTTGAGATTTGAGCCATTGTATGCAAGTAATGTAGATGGAAAATCGATTTGGAGCTCAAGAACACAACCTGGAATTCCAGAATTTTGACGTCCGCTCGAGCGGGGGAAGTGCCGCTCGAGCGGAGAAATCGTGCTCCCAGGACTTTTTGCAGAGTTGGATGTCTGCTCGAGCGGGATGTCTCACGCTCGAGCGGGGAGTTTTTGTAGACAGGCCTTCCGCTCGAGCTCTCTATTGCACGCTCGAGTGTATTTTTCATGCAACCAGTACTTTTGCAGGCCTTAAGGGTCCGCTCGAGTGGGTAATTCCACGCTCGAGCGGGGACCCTGTTCTCTAAAATTTTGTATGCTCATTCTGTGTTTTGTTTTCCGTTCTCTTTCACTTGTAAGTACTCTTAGGCATATGTTAAGCATTGTAAATGAGTTAATGAGATAAGAATACAGCCTAAAGAGGAATATGTGAATCAAAGAACGGATTGAACTGTTAGTGACCCCTTTTGTGTTCATGAAATGTGTAGGGTTAAGCTCCAGGGCAAATCTGCAAGTCGACCACTGTGAGTAATATCGATATTTGAAAGCTTATCAATGTCCAATTGTGTATTCCCTTATAAGCTTATGAGTTGCTAATTGGGATTGTGGACAAAAGTCTGACATGAATGAATAGATGGACCAAAGGTCGTTTTGATAATTATAAATGGACCAAAGGTCGTTTTGATAAAAATGAATGGATCGAAGGTCGTTTTGATAGAACTGAATGGACCGGAGGTCATTTTGATAGAAATGAACGGACCGAAGGTCGTTTTGACGTGAATGAGTGGGCCGAAGGCCGTTTTGACATGAACGAGTGGGCCGAAGGCCGTTTTGACATAAATGAGTGGGCCGAAGGCCGTTTTGACATGAACGAGTGGGCCGAAGGCCGTTTTGACATAAATGAATGGGCCGAAGGCCGTTTCGACATAAGTGAATGGGTCGAAGGCCGTTTTGCCATGAATGGAAATCTGAATGGGCCGAAGGCCAGAATGTTTGGAACTACAGTTACTTGATTTGAATTTCATATAGTTATATATATCTGTTAAATAGAGTATGAATTGGGCCCAAGGCCATTTGGAGCATGTTGTTCTATATATTGTTATATAACTTCTGTATTTGATATTATTCACTGGGCTATCGGTCACGCTCATTTATGTCTTTGTAGGTGAGCCAAGGGAGGTCCAAACCCAGCCCCAATGAAGTCTGTCAGGAACAACATGAGTTTTGGAGAGTCAGCCTTGTGTCTCACGCACGAGACGCATCCTTGCCATTTTGTTATGTATTTACCTTTTGTCTTGTTGGCATGGACTTTATGTATATTTGTATATATTCTGTTATGGGTTGACTCAGTTTGAATGATCCTGTCGATAAAGAATTTTATGGTATTGTACTTTTGATGTGGGTTATTAACGTATATGTAAGTGGTTTGTTTGATGTGCGTATAAGCACGGCTCTGTGGACAAAGTTTTAAATTTGTGCTTCCGTTTGGCCCTTTTACTCCGTTGAGTTACGTTTGTTTTAGTATTGAGGCCGTAGGTAATCTCAGGATTACTGGCCGGTTATGTCCTTAACCCATAGGGGCGGGTTCGGGTCATGACAGGGATTTTGGTGAAACCCCCTTTTGGGCCTTTTTATTAGGGTAAAGGATAACCCAATCAATTTTATTTCAAAAAGCCCCTGAGTAGGAAATGCCTACCTTAATAAGAACATTTTATAATTTCTTTTTTTTTATCACAATATTGCCCTTCTATATATGCGTATCATACATTTGAAATATTTGAAATCTGAGCTAAAGATCTCGCAGGAACGAAATCAGGAACGAAATAGATGAAGACGATCTCCAAATCTAAAGATCTCGCAGCCAAAGATCTCTCACTTGGTCAACAATAGACGATCTCGCCGCCGACGATCAACACTCTCAATTAAACGAGAGTTTCATTGAGATTTGTGATTGTTGATCGAGTTTTAGAAGTTTTTCTTCTCAATTAGATATGTTGATTTGTTGATTAATTTGTTTTGTTTTTGTTTGTTTGTTTGTTTTTTTTTTTTGATTTATTTTTGTTGTTTTTTATCTGATTTCATTTGACAGAACTAGAGTGAAATTTTCCTCTGGTTCTATTGCTCTGTTTTTTGTTTCAGATAATGAGAGTAAAATTTTACTCTAATTCTATTGCTCTGTAAAACTGATTAATTAAACAGAACAATGAATTGATTATTTAGAAGTAACTCATCAATAAGTTCTAGGTCAACAACTTTGCCCTCAATCCTCTAGGCATAGTACATCTAGTGTCCCTACTGAAATTACAGCTGAAGATGAAATATTTAATACTCCTTTATTTCGAAAATATAGTCAAATACATCTTGGTCAAACCAACCAAACTTCCCAAAATAAACTAAAAGGAATTGATAATTCTACCACTTCTCAGATCAGTAAACTTGTTTATACTACTCCCACACATTTACCAGAAGAAGATATTGCTTCAAATACTTCTCCAACTCAAACTGATTTCGAAGAATTTATACCACCAGTGAATCCCCAATTAATGACAATCAAAAAAGATTTTACTCCTGATTTAGATAAATTACTTGTTGATTTTAGATCCAAAGAAAATAGAAGTAAAAGACATGCTTATCGTGCTAAATATGACTTTACTCAACAATCCAAAATAACCAGAAAATGGTACGATTTTATGGTCCAATATGGTTTTGAATTATCTTTCTTTGACTATATGGATCAATATTACAAAAAGATCAACACAATCACAAAACATAAATGAAAAACTTCTCCCAATACTTCTGTTAGCTCTAATCATCCTCCATTAGAAAATATAATTATTGATCATCAAGGTTCTGAAGTTCCAGCCCCTCCTTTTAAATTGCCTGGCACTGATCCTGAAATTAAAAAAGTTATTGAACAAAATAATTATACTAATCAATGTCTAAAAACCATTGGTAAATAATTAGATAAACTAGAAATTAATTTAGATGAACAATCCGCAAAATCTACTAAACCCTTAGATCAACCTTTACTTAATCTCCCTAGTCATCGTTCCAAACGAACTAGCTTAGTTACTAATGATCAATCTACTGTCAATGCTATTGAACACTTATTTACTAAATTAACTCCCAATGATACTTCTACATCCAAAGATAAAGGTCTTACTGTTTTGAATCAACAACCTATTACTGACACTGTTTTAGATCAATCTGAAACCGACACTACTGAT